CCCGAGAGCTCCCGCGCATATACGGTACGACGGCCTTTTATCGGCTGCTAAGCGCCGCTCGCGTGGTCAATAGACTACTTCCAGAAATCCCTGCGAGCAACACTGCGCGCGTTGTACTCTGAGAATTAGTCGGCCAGAAAGGAGAACGGCATGGTTTCGGTTTCGATCGACACGTAGAAAAGAAATCATGCACAGAGCGTGGATTATAACCAGCCGTTATTTCATGTTTGCTGGTCCCGAGTGCAACGTTTTGCGTCTCCAAACTAACCTAAATGGCCAAAACACGAAGTTTGAGCACAAGCCCGATCCACGTGTAAAGCTTGTTTTGACATATTCCTGGTGTCTTTTTGTACTAGAGCCTTCCTGTTAGCGTTTCGATGTACGTGCACGAACCAGTGATGAGGAATCTTAACGCTGCGAAGCTTGATTATGTACGAGTCAACACGCTGTTACAACCAAAAGGTTTGCCTACACCGAGCTCACAAATTTACATTAGTGTTGCTGGTCAGCAAGTTTGTTACTTGTTTTATGCGTCCATTGACAATTTTACGTTTTTGCAATTACTGTTCTTTTTTTTTTTGTTTTTTTATTACGCCCGAGTACGCAAGGTAAAACTGGGAGGCGCAGTGGAAAAGCTAAAATCTAACACTTCTTATCCCTTTACAGCTGTACTGACCCGCAGCACCGTACGAAGTGAAGTCACTACATGTTTGGATTGAACTAATTCAATGTCGCTTGAAGTTATCCTGCAATCATATACGCACATTCACACATACAAACCGTTATGAAGAAAACAACAGTCGAGCACTTACGTGAAGAATGTCGCACACTTTGGCGGACAGCATGTAAACGCCGTGAACCCCAATGCAGTGCGCCAAATATACTAAATAATTCCAAACGCATTTGGCGGTTGCTAATGACCATAATATTTGTTATATGTTTCCTTTCTTCCTCACTGCGTATGCCGATATAATTTCAGAAACACCGTTCAGGCACAGATCTGGGGCGTCGGTAAAGGCTCATCAAAAAAGGCTTTGGAGGAGTTTTTGGGATTATTGGGGACTCCGTCGTATAGCTAGGCGGTCTCAGCGTTTTGCAAACGCTGAGAGCTCGCCGCGACAAGTTTGAAAAAGAGACATGACCTTAAAATAGCCTATTTCCAACTTTTTCTCGATCGCACGCGGGAAGTGAGCCGAGTCTTTATTTTCATTTAGATTTCTCTTGGTTTTAGGTGCGCTATCTCTCGGTATATGACAGTACTGATATTTCACGACTGTCATCTAAAATATTTTCGAGTCAGATTCTCATGTCTTCTGTTGTTCAGTTTAAATTCTCGTTTTGGTGCATTTAACAGAGAAGCGCCGAGAAAAGGATATCCAAGAAAGTTGGGGACGGAACAGTCCTGCCGCATCGGCCGTGCAGAAACTGCCTGCGGAAATGTTCTCACCTTACAACTATGCCTGGAATATATATGGTTGAGACGTGTCCTCAAATAAGTCTATCGTCATCTATTCAGTGAACGGCGTGTTTTTTTTACATGATGCACGAGCAGAGGGACTGTGGCTTTACAAGCTAGAGTCAAAGACTAGCCGGGTTTATCTCTACCCATAGTCTCCCTCCAATCAGAGCGAATCACAGCGTCATCTACTCCTTACGCAGCTCCTCGCGTTCAAACGTGTTCGAATCCCTTCGAACTATCAGTAGAGATGGAGACAGCTAGCCTTTGCAGCGAGACCGCAAGGGTATAAAGCCTTTTTTAAAAGGGGATAGTTAATTGGGACGCGTAAAATATAAAATTAAGTTTTCACGAAGAAAGGAACATTTTCCCGCGCAATATTTATGCTGTTAGACGCCATTGAGGCGCAGAAAGGGCGGGGGGTGGCACTGATTTCTGTTGCAGTAGGCTGGACCGTGGACCGCGACCTCTGCAGCTGGGGCCGACTGTCGCTACCGGCGGCCATTGATTGACACCACCAGATTCGTGGGACTCGATGGGAGAAACGAGAAAAAGTGTCGTCTCCCCCGTTTCTAAGTGTTTGTCATCAGTGAAAGTTTCTAGCTGCTTTTCGGGAAGCCTGTCAAACAGCATGTCTACAAACATTAATACTGGCAGCACTCAGAGTTCTTATAAATAAATGTTTTGTGGTTGAGAGGGACTTCGGCTGGGTGAGAAATGTAGTGTAGCTCAATAAGACGAGAGTTATCTAGAGTTACCGCGGAATCGCTGGTGATTTCGACAAGTTGGGTTTAGCAGATGACAAGCTTCAGGGCATTGCTACGCGGAATTCGCGCACCCCCGAAAATCCGCTGTAAATATGGAATTTTTTCTACATTCATAAACTTCTGGGCTTCCTCGAGGACGGTCTTATTGGCGGCAAGTTTCTTTGTTTATTTCACTCAGAGAGCAACCTTGCCACTCAGCCGTAGATTCTCCGGCACGTTTGATTTTTGTAATTGGCATTCGAACGCTTGACAAATACCGATTCACCTCAAAATAACCGATATAATGATCCGCATCACATCATACTTTACTCGACTTCAAGCTTAGCATACAAGCTTCCATACCCCTACATTTGTGTGTTCCTCCCAAAGACTTTCGTGTATTGCCTGCTGTCAAGTAATGGCCGCCGGTGGTGGCGCCGGTGATGCCGCCGGCGGGCTCGCGATATGTGATTCAGCCTACTACAATATATATTAGTGTGTGTGGATGGGGGTCACAGACCGCAAAGCCCAGCCCCGTGCTTGCAATCCACTATCATGTTATGCTTGAGAAGCAAATAATCAAGATAGAATCATAATGATTTTCAAAGATATTACGAGATTGCTTTACGCGCTTTAGTTTGACGCGTTAACTAATATGACTGCCGGCGTTTGTGGAGTGCTGAACGGCCGAAGCTCGTCGAGTTCGTTAACTTTGATGAGTACGAGTGGTTTTGCGTTCACGTATCTGTTTAGAGGAAGACCGAATCAACCGACAACGTTTGCTGCAAACAAGTGTCGGAAGTACGTGCCTTCGGAATCTCTGTTCAAAAGCTTTTTCTCGAAGCGGGACTGGCCTAAGCCTAGCTAAGGCGCCTGGAACGCTTCTCCGACTGGTGTGTTCACCTCGTAAGAAAAAGTAGCCTTAAGTTACGTCTGATGACGTCATAGAAGTGCCATGCTGTCGTTTGTCGCGATCCCAGTGGCGTCCCTACAGCTGTGGTGTGCATTGCAGACGTCTATTCTGCTGCAGGCCGCTCTCCAGTGTGGCTCTCCACGGAAGCTCCGGAAGCCAGAGGTTGGGACGCTGTGACGACAGCGTTACTCGCGTTCACTCGGGCTACTCACAGCTTCTCGTTAGCATTTCTACGACCAACCGGCAGAATCGCGACATGCAACAGCATGGCACTTCGGCTTCTGTGACGTCATTTGTTGCTTATTCGGGAACACTTTTGATGTATGGGCAGCTTAGGACGCTACACACCAATCGTAGACGCGCTCCAGGTGCCATAGCCTAGCGTCCCGGATCAACTATTTTAAGTGATCTCGCTTGATATTTTTCTTTGCCCGTTTTGATGCTGAATAAAGTTGTTGGCTTCCAAAAAAGCGGTCCCGCTGCTCTGTGAATTGTTCAACCGTCGTGGTTGCACTGTGGTTTCAATACCGAGAAGATACCTGCACAAATAAGAATTTGCGAGCAATTTGGTCGGAAAGAATCGGGCGTTCAGTTCGCGTCAAGTTTGTCTAGGTATTTCTCCATCATCGCGCCTTCAAAGGCAAGCTTTCAATTTTTGCGAAGTGCATCTAGCCTACCAAAACGAAGATTTTTATGTCGCGTTTTATTTGCCCTTCATGACGCTCACCTACCTTGCTTGCAAAGGCTACGTAAAAAAAAAGAAAAAAAAAAAAGAACGCGAACAGTAAAGTTAGAAAGACTGAATATTTATTTTTGGATCTTTTTAGTTTTCTAGGTCGCTTTTCACGCACATCGATAGGCGGTGAAAGTAGGTTGTATTGGATCGTGGCTCGTGCACGATAAAACGCTAGAATGCCGCTTTCATGGACGCGCCTTCTAAGAGTTGCAGAAAATTTTTGACGGACGAATAGCAGACGGACGGAGGCTGTTTACGGCAATCCAGATGACGATAGGCGGCCATGAAATACCAGACGATGCCGGAGGCTGCGGCTCGTCTGCTCGCACGACTAGCAGGCGGCGTTAGACCTCCCGACTGGACGCACTAAATGACGCGAAAGGCAACTCCACGCTTGTGGCCTTTTCAGTCGAGCAGCCAAGCCAGTCCTGTAGTAATGAGCGGGACCACTGAACTGTGGACGGCACTTAGAGCGGATTGTGACTTCCAACTAAAGCGCCTAACAACGTAAATATTACGTAAACAAAATATCTTTTCATAGAAAAATGTTTTGAAAAATATTAGAGGTTTACGATTCTCTGTAATGCGAAATTAGAGTGCAGTTCTTGAGGAGGAGGGTGGGAGGGCACGGTGGAGAGGGTATGCCCCATCTCCTCCTCCGTGCTTTCCCCTCCTCCTCTTCCCTCGTCCTTATACCCTGCTCCTCTTCCTCCTCCTACTCCTCCTCCTTTCCTCCTCCAATTCTTATCCCGTTAAATTTCCTCGCTAAATTTTCCTCTAAATTTAACGAGAATCGGGCCGCTAAATTTAGCGAGGAAATTAACGTCACGTGACCTCAACACCAATTCAGTTTCCCGCAAAATTTGGCGGGGCATTTACGCCTACGGCGGCTCTGACGCCGACACCAACTGCGACACCGCGAAACGCGGAAACGGACGCCTAAGAGCAGCGCTCAAAAATGACGTGTCCCATCCTGTGCCATTTAGAAAAAAGAGCAGGTTTTTTCTTGCAGTACCTCTTTAAATATACCGATTCTCCTTCCAATCAGAGCTCGGTTCTCTGACGTCCCCGCGTGCTCTCATCACCTCCTCTCCCTCACTTTCTCCCCGCATAGCACGCAAAGAAGCTTTAGCTCCGGAGCCAACTCACCGTCCTGTCTCCGAGCTGCGTGATCCTGCAACGCAGGAAGGCCGACTTCCCCAACTGGGCTGTCACGTTCCTTTCGGTGCTGTTGTCGAAGCGGGGCCTGAAGTGGGGGTCGTCCCAGTGGGCGCTGGGCCGCGACGGGGGCTCGCCACCCACGCCTGTCGAAGACGACCAGAACACGACTCTTTCTTCTGCTGGCATTTCTTTGTGAATGGGGGTCGCCGGTCCCGGTCCCGGCACCAGGCCCGAGCTTGAAGACGTGCCCAGACCCGAGCCCAGGCTCTCTCTGAAGTTTCGCTCCGTGCGAGGCGCTTCCCAAAAAGTAGCCTCTGCCTGCACCGGCAGCGAACCAGAGCCCGGACCTGGAAAATGCACACACATACAAAAAAAGCACGGTGAAAACTTTTTTGAAAGCAGTTACCAAACGCTTAGTCGCAAGTCTCACTAAGCTGGCAAACAAAAATGCCCGACACCGACAAGCCTCAAACGCGTGTTGCATGTAGGCGATGGTACTTTTGGCAGACTTTTAAGTCTTTCAGTCCTGGTAAATGTATGATGCTTGTCGACTTCGGCTGTTTCTGTTTTGTCGCCCTAGTGGGACTCGCGCATCATAGACACAGGTTAGAGAACATGTTTCATCAGACCAAAAATATTCAAATACATCATTCGTCCCCATATTATTTCTGGAACTGTGTATCACCTATAGACACTGACAGAGTGAAAACGGCTTGGCGTCTATTTCGACTGCAGCGTCCTCCAGCACGAGCTCAGTGCCTTCCGTCGTGCTTTGCCTGCGCTTTCCCACTCGACGAGCTCGAAACACCAGAGCGTCGTCGAAGGTACGAAGTTCGCACTAGAGACGGGACGACGGTAGCTCCTCCCTGAACTCCTCAGTCTGTCAGCGGGGGTAGTCATACCTTTCCGAAATTTCAGAAAAGATCGTAATTGTTTATGGTGAACTATTGAGGTACAGTTCGTACAGAGAGTTTATTATTTTTTTGTGTGTGATCCTTTTAGCAGGAAGTGAGTGAAACGTTGCCTGGTTATGAAGAACTTGGCCATAGTCTCTATGCGAAGAACGTTTGAACAGATGAACCTGTACAGGTACACCCTTGGACACTACCCCCTGCATGCACAGAAACACAGAGGTGCCGTATTTTTTGGTCTATTTGAGTCACACTGTTGTATAGGTCGCTGCCACCACAGACTTGTGTTTAAAAAGAAATCTAATGTATAGTCGCACAGTCTTATCAGTCGCTCTTATATATGTGTACAATCTGCGCGGCAAAACTGCATTCGGAAGTTCGCATATGTGTGTTCTGGTAGCCATGTTATGCTCAAGCCGGGGGCAGCTTCAACATTCTAGTCGAAGAATATAATGGGAAATGTGACGACCACGGAGAATTTGCGTATTTAACCTCCATAAACACTTATAAGGTGCAACGTGCATAAAACGCACCAAATTAAATTTTCTAGAAAAAAACAATACGAAAACAAAAACGCGACTTATACATTGCAAAGTGCGGTATACGAACGTGTGCACAAAAACAAAAAAGGCACATAGAAACTTGCATTCTCACACGCAAGAACAAAAACCTGTCGATGACAGCAAAAACACAAGACCACACTGCACAGACCTAGGAGGACTGAATTTTTCGTCCATCGAACGGTTTGCAAAAACACGTTATATTTTTATTTTATATTTTTGTCACCCTTATTAGCAGACAAAATTTGAGTTCGACGCCTTGAATATTTCAGCTCAGCTTCTTTTGCGTGGTAAACTTCAGTCATCATAGACCTTTTTACAGTCGTAAATAAACGCGCTTAATAAAGAAAAATACGGTTCCAATGTTTTGCATCTTACAATTAATGTATCAAATGAGTCAACTCCACCCAAGTGTAAAATCCGCATCTTTATTTCATATTATTCTAATTTGTTTCCGCGGCTATTTTTGCGTCTTATAGGCAACAAAGTATGTCTGTAGCGTCAAGAAACAAAAAGAATGGGTCGATTGACACCATCATAATTTTGCTTGCAACCGTTAGAATATGTTGGTCCTATCTCTGACTTGTATATAAACGATCGTCTTCGTAATAACTTTGACTCAACCTATAATAAATAGGAGCATACAAACTATTAAAAGCGGACAATAGAAAGTTTCGACAATTTTGAAGATAAAAAGGATAAGAAAAACACTCTGTCTCAGCCCATCTCGGCTGCCAGCAAATATTTGAGTAAAAAAGAAAAGTAAAATTGAACGATCTTTTTTTTTCCCAACTGCTTTATACCGTTATCACGCTGCCCCTCCTTGAAGTTAAGGAAGAACTTGAAACTACATTATAGAGATAGAAGAAACAGAAGCTGAATCTAGGACGAAGTAACAAAAAGTTCGAAAGGAATCGGGACGAAGTTTCTTTTCTGTTTCCCACTTTTGTCAGGTATATGGAAAGCGAGAATATAGAACTCATGGGACGCAACTGGGAACTTTTTGGATTATATAATTTGGCGCGCAAAATGGAGCTTATTATGCTCGACTTTGATCATGAGCTAGAGTTGTCTTCTACGTTTTTGCGTCTTTATCTCACATAGGTTTCTTGCTGCTACTTCTATTGGCGTTAAGGTAAATCCGTTCATAAATGTGAGCCTAGTCAGGACTTTCCTTAAATTAGTAAAGAAAAAAAAGTAAAAGTGGAACTAGGTCGGTACAGACGCCGTTTTTTGTTTTGTAGGAAAGTTCCTAAGATTGTCAAGTGTGTAAATCTTAATTTTTAACGCTTCAAACCTATCATAATAATTATTCGATAATATGGAGGGTCAAATTCCTTTTTTACCGTTCGTCTGTTTTATGGTGCTAGCACGGAAAACACCAATCTTTGTTTACAAAGCGAAATAAACTTTCCGGTAAATACCACCGCAAGTATCTTGCAGAAGCGCTTGCTCACAAGCCCTCTCCCTTGCGGTCACTGGGTAATGCTTAAGCGTCACTGATTTGCCAACAAAGTATACGTGGCTCGTCTGGGAGAAGTGTTGTCTTGTACTGCTCCAGTGGGAAGACACCAAGACTCCGATACCCAGGCTTTACACGACAAGAACCACTAGAACAGAATCCTCCTATGAGTATTTTTTAGTGGTTGTCGCCTCCAACAATATCGGCTCCAATAACGTCTTCTCCAACAACGACGGATTCTTCCCTCGTTGTTGGAGCCGACTTTTCCCTAAGTGTCTTGGCCCTGAGAGATCTAAATATCTTAAGAAATCGTCACCTGCCAATAAAAAACTTCACGATTTTTATTTATTTATTTGGTATTACTTTGTACTCGGTTTGAATCACTTCTTTGTTTCAATTGCATTGAAAACAGTTGCACTAAGTTTAAAGCGAGAAATATAATTCGTGTTTCAGGAGATTTTGTTCCCTTGAGTAGGTGTTAACTCTGAGAGTTTTGATTTGCTCGTTCTAGAACTAATAATTTCAACAAGTAAAAAAAAAAAAAAAAACAGAAAGCGTTTAATAAAAAAAAGGAATGAAAAAAATCTTTGCGACGAGAAGGGGGGCAAAATGGGGAGGTCACCGAGGCCAGGCAATAGTGAGTTTTCATAAAAAATAACTCGCTACAGTGTCAACCAACGCCATCTTTAGGTGAAATTTAGTAAAAAAAAATAAATTACAAGAAACGCTTGAGCACATTCCAACCTATGTATGCCGTGTTTCGTGTCTTGTTTTGTTGCTTGCTACACGAGCTAAACTTCAACTGAAGATGGTCTATTTTTTTTTTTTTGTCTTTCGTTCCCTCGAGAACTTTAAAAGTCAGCAAACGGAAGGAGAGGCGCTGTCCGATTGACCGCGAAAAAAAAAATAGTTCGCCGTAATACTGAAGTCGGAAAGGGCCACGTCCACGGAAACGTCAGCGTCTGTCACGCGGAACGCAAACCCCAGAAGAAGCCGCCATGAAGGCGGCTTTGTCGATGTCAATGAGGGGATTGTGTCAAGACCCCTAGAGAAGCCACCCCTGAAAGAGGCGGACGACGAGCGCGGTCCAAGAGAGCACAATGAACCGTCCCCGTCGAGTTACATCGAAGAGGGCAAGTATGCCGCTTATAATGGGTGCTGAATGGGACAGCATCTGCGGCTTGAGACGTCAGAGATGGCATAATTTCATGCCTATATTGAGATAGGTGTTAAATTCGACCGTGACGAGAGTAGTGGTCAATGCGGTGGAGCCGTGCTTTGTGGAGATTAGGACATCCGGCGAATCTGACGAGTCTGCGAAAATAGATCCCCGAAATACTCGCATACTTCAAGAGAATGCAACCTCGAACCATACCAAGCGCCAACTGCTTAAGGGATGCGGTGGTTCGTTCATCAAGCGATTAAAAGACATCAACTGGATGAGATAATCATAAAGCGACAGGTTATTTGTTTGTTTGTTTGTCCATACGTTTTCTTTTATACGCTTGAAGGATTTCTAACTGCAAGACGCCTTTTTTGTTATTTTGAACGATTCTGTAGTGACTTTGGACTTCGGCTTTTTTGTTTCCAATGAACCTAAAAGATAAATGAGCAAACTTCTTGTTCTCAACAATTTAGAGTTTACGGCACAGGACTGTCCAGGCACGTATCGGGCCGGCCCGGGCCGGCGCGGCCCGAAGACGTTTTAGCTCAAGCCCGAGCGCGGCCCGGACCCGAGAAAATACGTTCTACCCGGCCCGAGCCCGCCCAAGCCCGGCCCGCGGGCCGGGCCGGGCTCGGGCTCAGCCTTTTGCGTTGACCCGGGCCCGTGCAGTGCTTCAGTGCTAATACCAAATGGCTGAGTACTGCCGGACCACAAACAATCTGTTCAAGTGTCATTCTTGTGACCTACGTGATTATAGCGTACGGCAGTGCCTTGCGACCTCTGTTGCCCGCAAGCTTCCGAAGCTTCGAAGTGTCGGCGCGTGTTCCGGCGCCAGCAAAGATAGAATCGTTGATGAAATCCAGGAGCTTCTTCGGACGATACAGTTGCCGAAAACCTGAAGGACCATACTAGTGTTTTTGATGTTGTTACCTTGTAGTTGACGGTGAGGCAGCATTATATTGTCACGTGTGGTGACTAATAAACAAGAAATAAACAGGAATAAATAAACGTTTAATGTGGCGAACTTGTGCCAAAAATAAAAGGGTACAAAAGATAACAACAGAGCGTCGCGGGCGTCGAAGGCGGCG